CGCCAAAAATTGAATGATTTAAGGCTTTTAGCCAAAAAGAGTTGATTTAGGCAATTTATTGCCTGAAAATTGATTGATTGGGCGTTTGTCGCCAAAATGATTGATTAATTGGACTTAAGATGGACTGTTCGAAATAAAGGCAATTATACCATAGCCATTTAATTAACTAGGTATTTTGAGCCAATATTGTCGGATTTAGGCTTTAATACCACGATTATGGCAATGTGTTTGTAGGCAAATTTGTTGCAAAAAGACGTGATTGATTTAAGGCTTGTTTTAGCTACAATTTTGATTAATTGACTTTTTAGCCGAACTTGTTCGAAATAAGGCGATGTACCATAGTTATTAATTACTAGGCCTTTTTAGCCGTATGTTCGGAAGTTTGGCATGAAATACCCACGATTATTGATTAACAGCAATCTTAGCCTAACTTATTCACTTAAGGCAATTATTTGCAAAATGATGAATGATGGTGTGAATGCGGTTTGTAAGAATTAGGAAGTAGAGAAGAATATGCAATGAAATGTCCTGAAATTAAAATAGGCAGGGTTTCGTTATTACCTGAGTTAATCGGCGGCCGCTTCTTAGCTCAGCTTGAAATTCCAGATTAAGCTTCCTCGTTTGGGGAATATTAATTAGAATTAATTTAATTAAGTGACCAAGTATCACAACAGCAGAAATAAAGAGCCTACACTAAATGCAGAAAAAAGCAGTAAAAGAACCGCAAGGAGGCGTAGGGAGAAAGAGAGCGTCCGTCAAACGAACACAGTAACAGACTGAGTGAGTAAAAAAGTCGCAACCCGGGGCTGTAAATTTATAGGGAAAACCGCGGGCCCTGGAGGGCGGCCGCCGCCTGCCCATGCCCGTGGCGGCGGACTTGCTAGTCTTTTCGTTCAAAGTGCTTTTTCAGGAGTTTCCGTACCTCCAAAAAATATTTCGGACAAGTTCTGCGATCCTCGTGATTTTCCCGGACGTTTCCCAGTAACCTATATTGGCATACTTTCGGGTGAAACTTTCCCCGAATGGCCCTCACGGTCCGGTCCGGACTGCCGTGGCCGGCGGACTTGCTAGTCTTTCGTTCCAAAGGCTTTTTCAGGAGTTCCGTACCTCCAAAAAATATTTCGGGACAAGTTCTGCGATCCTCGTGATTTTCCGGACGTTTCAAGTACCATATTGGCATACTTTCGGTGAACTTTCCGAATGGCCTCCGGTCCGGTCCGGACTGTTTGCAGTCTGGGAAAACAGGCTTTTTGAGCCTCAAAATTTGAGTATTCACACCAGGTTTTAAGAAGAGGATGCCAGCTTGAAGTCCAACATATTCTTCCTCTGTTATGGTATCTCTATTAATTTGAATTTAGATTCTTCTGTCATCTTTTAAACAAATTAGAAGTTCCATATCCACCTTATATGGAATTGAAAATGCTATGTATATATGTATGGGACATATATGATGTAATAATAAGAATGACTCGATTGTTACTGTTATGGACTGCGAGCCTTGATTATGAAATAATGAATAATGCATGGTATATGGGAATTGAATAAAAAGTTGATCCACTATTGATGATGGGCTAGAGAGCCTAAAATTTTATATAATGATATGATAATTGTGTATGGGCATGAGGCCCAATGTGGATGTTAGTATGACAACTCATATTGAGGTTTACTGTTCGCCTTGGGAGCCTTAAGTCCATCTAGGTCTTAGTGTTGGTTCGGCTTAAGGTGATAGGTCGTCACAATATTATAATTAATAAAATATAACTAAAATTATAAAAATAATTGATAGCTAAATAAAATGTTTACTATATTATAATATTCTTTATGTGTTCATGTTATTTTCTATAAAATTTTGATAAACATATTCACAAATCCAATAAAAAACGATTCATAAAAAATGTATAAAATTTTATTTTATTATGAAATGAAAAAAATATTTACACAACAATAAAAATAATAATAATGGTTTTCTATTAAAAAAATAAAAAATATTATAAAGTTAACCACTTATGCTAGCAAGCATGAGTTAAAGATTGAATGTGCCAAACGATTATTAGACTTAAGATTACTCTCTTTGTTCTCTTTATATAGAGAAAATACAGGGACTAAGATGACAATTTAATTGAATAGTTTTCTCATTTTGTGCATATTTTACACCTAACAACATTAATTGGCTTTTCAAGCATTAATTGGCTTTTCAATTGAGAGAGAGTCAACTCATTTTTATAGACTCCCAAAGATTTGTTAATTATAGGATTTTTAGGTAAAAATAGATTCCATTTTCAGGTAAAAATAGAGGGAATCGCGAGAAAATGATGTTAATTTTTAACTTTTCAAACTTTCTAAATTAACTCTTCACGCTTGAAATTTTGAATTTCTCTCATTTTCATAAAGTCCTAAGCATTTTCAATCAAATGAGCATAATATTTTGGAGAGATTTGAGAGGACAGTTTGTAAGTGGTGGCTCTCTAGAAATATACATTGTTAATTATTTTCACTTAAAGGAAATCCAAATAGGGTACAACTAATTCATAATTATCGCTACCATTTTGTTTTATTTTGTACAACTTATTCAAAACATGAGCATGAAATCTTTATCAGTGCTCAGTTAAGTTATAAAATTACATTAAGTTAGTTGGAGTTAACGAAATTCGTGCACATATTTACAATGAATAATATCAACATAAAAAAGTATTTTAAAACTATAGTACAACCATCAAATTGTATGCCCATATTTTGATTAATTCACAAACTATCACTCATGTTTGTGCTCACATCCATTAAGTCGACCATATCGTTAAAAATAGACATTAAAAAAAATAGTCATTCAGTCGTACTTTGAAATACAAGTACATTAAATGTCATTTCTTTTTTTTCTGCCACTTTCCTTATTCAAAGAGCAATATTCACGTATTACAGAGCTCATATGAAGGCATTTTGAACTTTTTATCTGGTATCCTTCCCAAAATTTCTATTTGAAGTAAAATTTTTTATATAAAAGAAACACGCTAATTAGAAAGAGTCTCTATATAAAGAGAACATAGAGGTAAAAATATTTTATGCATAAACCCAAAGTAGGAGTTTAAAACGATTTGAAATTTCAATTTTAATACCAAGTGAATTAAATTTAATTCTAATGCCACGTAAATACTACCTGTTGAATTAAATTAGTACTATTTAAATTATTTTGATTTGTACAAACCAAATGAAAAATTCAATTAACCCAAACTCAAACCCTTTGAACCTAAATCAACTTCCTGAGGAAATTTTCACTAAAAGACAAAATTTAAAAGTAAACAAATAATAATAATAATAAAATAATAAAGTTATATCCCAAAACTACTCAAAACCCATGTCACTCCCCTGCCCCCCTTCTATTTCTTTCTTTCTCTTTCCTTTTCACCTTTTTCCTTCTTCTTTCTCGTCCCCACCTCTCTCACCGTCGATCACTCCCCACCGTTCCTCAATTCTGAGTAGCGGCCAGGCACCATCGCACATCACTTCTATCTCTCTCTCTCTCTCTCTCTCTCTCTCTCTCTCTCCTCACGGCATCAAGACTATTCCTTCGCGCGACTAAGGTTACAAGCTTCGCACGACCTCAGTCCCGTTTTACCGGTGAGCTTGGCGATATCCAGCGACCTCCTTCCTTTAGGGAGGTTGATTTCTATCGATAATGTCCTTAAATGATAATTCTTTTCTTAATTGTGGAGAGATTTGAGATTACAAAATTAAAGTGATTACAAAATTAAATTGTTTACAATGTGATATAGATTTTTGATTTAATTTATGTATGACAATTGCTCCTGAGTAAAATTGAGCTCATTTATTTACATGACATTAGGTAGGCAAGCAAGTCAATGATTGAGAGATGAAGTTTAAATACCCAATTTATGATGAAGTTTAAATACCCAAACCGCATAAATTGAGTATTGGTTTTATTGTTAGAGATAGATTAAGATAAAAATTAAATGAGGGAAGCTCAACCCGTAATGCTCAACCCATAACATATATAAGAGTGACCTTACGTTTGTTATTAGTAATCTACTTTTGGGCGATTGATTAAAAAGCGATAGAGCAACATGGTGTTAATAATGTTTTATAAAATTATATAAAAAATAATATAGAGATGAAATAAAGATAGAAAATACGAAAGGGTAATTCTCATTCATTAATATATCTATTTTTGTTCATGATATGAGAAGTTATAAGACATACACTAATTAGGAAAATAAATTTCTACACAAATTAAAAGATAGACTTCTCACTAATTAGGAATATAGACTTCTTGATGATATCAAACAGCAACTAATTACATAATAATATATGTGTTTGTGTTTGTTTGTATGTTTAAAGCAAGCATGTTTTCTCTAAAAAGTGACATATGACACATCCTTGTCAAAAAGTGACTTTGACAAAACTCTTAAGGGCAAGTTTAGTAGGCCGAAAGAAAATGAAATTTCTATCCCCATTCCCTTATTCGATTGTCGCTCTGATGTAGAATGGATAATGTGTCTTATAATAAGTCAAGTAATATGGATTCTTAACTCTTCCCTTTGAATCCTAATTACATGGTTCATATTTTTATAGAATATGTTATATACCCTTATATTAATCTCTCTACTTATTTCAATAATTTTATTATTATCATTATTATTCTTGTGTTCTGATGAATTTTCTATTACATTCCTTCCATTATTCTATCAACCAAACACTTAAGAATAGATGTTTCTTATTCCATTCCATTTTATTCTTTATTCCATTCTTTGTTTCAGACTAAATATACTTGTGGACAAGACATTATCTCATTAAATTTATTAGAAATACACTTGCTCACATTATATCAAAGTCAATTCTTTTTTTCTATTATTACAACTTGTTTAATAGTTAGATTTCTTCAATTTAGTCATCTTGGCTTACAGTTTTTTATTAAGTTTCAATTTTAGCAAATACATGAACTTTAATCCAGCAAGAATCAACAAAGCCAATAATCAAAACTAGAAAAGGATGAAGAAACAAAAAGATTCATTGAAAATGATTCTACAAAAGTTTACAAAAGGTAACACTTTTACAGGGAAAAAAAAAATGAAACAATCTCAGAGGTTTTAACAACTTAATATTCATAATATACGAGTAATAGAAGAGACTCACACTTAAAATACAAGCTAAATTTTGCCCTGGAAATCCATCCTGTGTATTTATAATTTGTATTACCCATAAAATTTTGGTCCCTATACATAATTTTTATATATATATATTTTAGTCTTCCTGTTTCTAAGTTAAAGCATTTGCACGAGTACAGGTTCCAAATCAACAGAATCCATCAAAAGCAGCAGTGTCCAAGAGCTAGTTAATTTTACGTTGAGACCTTGTCTACTTTTGGTCATTCATGGTTATGAAAGTTGGCTGCTTACAATTGAATTATTAATTATTAATTATTTCATGTGAGTTATAGGAGACATGCCTCTTGATTCACTACCGCTGCTTCGAGTTTCAACATCACTGCCCCCAAATTCTTGGCTTGATAATGCAACTTCCCTAAACCTCTTCATGTCTGCATTATATGAATTTGCGTCGTAATCTGAACCAATTGGACTACCAAAGGCAGAGCTTTGACCTGGCTTCGTTCCCTCATTTAAGGCATCTAGTGATGCATCCCCTTCCAAGGCACGCACAATCTGTTTTGCATATATATATATATATATATATATTATTATAATATATATATATATATATATATATATGGTAATAATTCGTGGATATTAAATATTGTCTCCATATACATGCATATAATAACATTTTTATCTACCTGGAAATTTTTGCATGCACCAAGCCAATTAAAAGAATTTTTTTTTTAAATTTATCATTTTGTTCCATTGTATATTAGAAATACTATCGTTTGAATCAAAACACTGTTGGAATGTTTAGATATATAAAATTGTCCAATACACTGGGTATAAAGTAAATCTTTTCTTAATTGTCTTTGATTAAACTTACTGTGCAAATTTCAAAGAAATAGAAAGTATATATATATATATATATATATGGTAATAATTGTGAATTAAATATTGTCTCATAACATGCATATAATAACATTTTTATCTACCTGGAAAAATTTTTGCATGCACCAAGCCAATTAAAAAAGAATTTTTTTTTTAAATTTATCATTTTGTTCCATTGTATACTTAGAAATACTATCGTTTGAATCAAAACACTGTTTGTAATTAGTTTAATATATAAATTGGTCCATACACTGGGTATAAGTAAATCTTTTCTTAATTGTCTTGATAACTTTATGTGCAAATCAAAGAATAAAAGATTACCCTTCCAATAAATTTTGGAATTATTAACCATACCTGACTCATTTTTGGGCGCTTTCTAGCGGAATGACGAATGCTGGCTGCAGCACAAGCAATCATGCGTTGCATCTCTTCACGGTTGAAATTACCGTCCAATCGAAAATCGACCAATTCAACAAAATTGCCAACTTCTGATGCCTGACTTAGCAACGGTCGAGCCTATTCAATGCAACGCAAGAAAAAAAGAATAGAATAATATTAGCTTTATTTGGACAAAACAAAACCAAAAATCAAATAATTAGGGATAGAACATGTACAAACCCAGTCCACTAAGCTATCTTCCATTGCATTTGTAGGATCTACAGGTCTCTTTCCTGTTATGAGTTCCAAAAGCATAACCCCAAATGAGAAAACATCTGATTTTTCTGACAACTTGCCACTGGATGCGTATTCTGGCGCCAAGTACCTGCATTTATGATAATTGGTTTAGCTTGTAGTTAATGTGCCTGGGATTGCTATAGTAGTAATGGCTGAGGAATTGAAATAGCTCTAGATGGAAACAAAATACTCTCTTCATCCTAAAATTTATGTCCTGGTTTGACTTGCACATGGATTAAGAAAATTTAGTTAATATGATTAAACTATAATTTTTGCTTCATTTTTTCCTAATATACCTTATATTAGTATACATAAAAAATTAAATAATACATAGTAAATTGTTCTTTGAATTAATCAAAATTTTGATTAGAGTTGTATTGGAAGATTAAGAGTTGATATATTAATTTTGTATAAATCAAGATTTAATTGATGACAATACAGTAGTTTGACTATTATATTTATTAAACAAAAAAGAATATTAAATAACATTAAAATACTAAATTTCAAATATTGTTCACTTTTAAAGAAGAAAACAAGAGAACAAATTGGAACAGAGAGAGTAAGATATAAATCAAATGATACAATATTATTAACCTTCATTTGTCCTGCCTTTCTTCCAAAACTAAAAAATATCACCTTATATTCTAGGAAGTGAGAGGTTTCTTTGCTTATTATATCTTAAGTTACTTTATCTTATTTTAGTGACTATTCCCTCACCTAGAAGCCTAATCCTTTGTTGAAAGTTCGATAGTTATTTCTATTTTTATGTTTGGATATAATAAAAGAAACAAAATAAAATTATTTTCCTTATTAGAAAACGACAAAATTTTAAAAGAAATAAAATATTATTATTGAAAATTGACTATTTTATCCTCGCTTAAATAATAAAGTATTTAAGAAATAGTTAAAATTTGTTAAGTAATTTGGGGTATTTAAGTAATTTAATAAAAATGAGTGAAATTTTTACTTTCCTCTTTTATTTTATCTCTAAATTGGAAAGATTTAAAATATACAGGCCAGATGAAAAATAAGTGAAATATTACTTCATTTAATATTTTTCTTCCTTTTTTCCAAACAAGGAAAAATACCTTTCCCTAAAGATTTTATATACTTATTTCCCTACTTCAGGGAAAAAAAAAAGAAAAATGTTCATCCAAATAAAAGGATACAAAGACTATTTTGCTTTGTCAACACGTGACAATTTTAGTTAAATTTCCAATAGTATTATTGAAACAACTCGAACAACTTTATATGGACTTGGTCACTGGTCCGGTTAGGATCGAAATTAGAAAAGAAAAGCTTCGATCCAAACCTAGTTTTAAATTGGACTAGAACCAAGTGAGATGGGTACAAGATTATAATTGCTGATTCCAAGCCAGTTTCAATCTCAAATTGAAAAAAAAAATAAAAAAATAAGACAGAAGGTAGGAAAAGCCAAACTGAATTAATGGACCTTTTAATGGATGGAAATGGACTCAATCAAGATTAAAACTAGAACTTTAGAATCAGTTTCAGACTCCGACGACAATAACTTTTAAACTAGTTTTTTAGTGTTTTGATCAAGTTAAAACTATATTTTTAACAATTATAGCATTCGGTGTTTTTATAATATCTTTTCGAGGTTGAGGAACCCTTTTATGGAGATGTGCTTTTATAATATCTTTTAGAGGTTAAGAGACGCTTTTATAATAGGTTAAAAATTATAATATTATAATTTTTATAATATTTTTTAGAGGTTGATGGACCTTTTTATAAAATGTTAAACATTATAATGTTTAGCTTTTTAGCGTTTAGCATTTAGTTTTTAATTAAATTTGTTTTTAACTAAATTTTTTTGTAATCATATCTAAGGATGAGTAGTATTTGGTCCTGAATAACCAAATCGAACTGATTCATTTCAGTTTGGTCCGGTCAAATTTTTTAGAGATCGATTATCGATCGGTTCAAATTATAAAATTGAATAGTTTTCAATTCAGTTACTTGCATAACGAACTGAATTGATTTTTATGCCTAGAAAAGAATATTCAGTTCGAAATAACCAAAACAAATCCAAACCAATCTGATTTGGTTCGGGTTCAAACCAATTTTTCATAGTCTTCAGTGTGGTTTCAGTTGAAATGAAATCTATTTGGTCCAATTCGGTTAGACTAAATGCTCACCCCCAACCATACCTATTCTTTTACCAAACATGTCTAATTTAAACTGTTATATATACATATACCAGCATAGATATCAGCTAAGATTGTGTTCGATAATGACTTTTTAAGTAGTCTTTAGACAAAAACGTTAAATGCTACTTAAAAGGTTGTACGGTAACATAACGTTTAAACTAGATTTTAAAGGTTAGGGTAGTATTTTGTGAAAATATAACTTATATAATGTTTAGTCTTTTAACATTTTATGAAAAACTACTCAAACAACTAACAATACCGCTGTTAAAATAGGTAATTTTGCCAAACAGACCCTAAAAGCTAATAGTTAACCGCTAATATTGTCGAACAGACAACCCAATCTAAGTTTAATATTTTTCGAACCAAAAATGTCCATGGAACCGGTGATTCCCGTTCAAAAAACGTGTCAGTATTAATAAAATTGAAGAAAGTTGATTATATATATATAAATACTTTCTCCACTTAGTATTAACAATTGACAAACTCGTGCCATGCTCTCGCATAGAACACGAGGATACGAAAATTAGCTCTACAAAATAAATAAATAAATAAATCACCACAAATAAGGAAATAGGATTATTGAGTTTACCCAAATGTACCCATGACACGTGTTGAAACATGAGTATAATTATCAGAAGAGAGCTTTGCCAATCCAAAATCTGCCACCTAAATGGCAAGCAAAACAAAGCACATGTTAAAATTAGCTATACCTTTAAACAGTTATTTGCATTTCAACGTAATGGACCTATATTTTTGCTATTTGCATTTCGCAATCAACATTTCATATTTTATTTCTTAGACTTAATTTAAAATGACTAACTATTAAGTCGTCAAAACATAGGGATAGTACTATGTCCCTATGTTTTCTTTCCTTCATTATAGAGTCAGCCAAGGTCCTCTTTGGATAAAATTCCAATGAAAATTTCAATTCTGAACCGGATCAAAACTGTCTGCTCAACGGTTTAATTTCATTTTTGTATATTTATTGCAACTAAAACCGGCTGGAAAATCAGCAATTCCGATAGAAAAAGAAAAAGGCTGAACCGCATAGGAACAAGAACCACAAACATATATAATACAGAAATATTTCAAAACATTATTTTGATAAAAAAACTAAGAAACGTGCAAATGGTTTGGTCCAAAACCAAACCAAGTTAGTCAAACCAGAAAAAAACAGTTTCTTAAAGCATAAATGAAATCAAACCAATTAGCTTACTTAAACTGAATTGATTTAATTTGATTCAGTCTGATTTGATTTCTCAATTTTTGGATTTACTTCAATTTAAATTTAAATTTTTCAATTTTTTTTTAAATTTTATATATCAAAAACTAAATCAAATAGAAAAAAAAGAAATCCATTCTCCCCAATAAAAACCAAAATCAAACCGAAGCCAAATTGAACTGATTAGATCTGATGTTTTATGCTTGGTCGGTTTGGAAAAATAAAAGTTATGCTATGAAATATTTAAAGTAAATTAAAAATAAGAAACAAGAGTAATATCGTTGAGAAGGTACCATGGCTTCGAAATTATAGTCGAGAAGAATATTAGCAGCTTTGATATCTCTATGAATAATCCGAGGATGGCCTGCAAGCATTTTTCAATAATAAAATTATATAATTACATTTTATAGGCATAAAAAATAATGCGAGTATGTGAGAGAAAAAGTTGGAGAGGAATGCCTTACAATCTTCATGAAGGTAAGCGAGCCCTTTCGCAGAACCTAACGCAATACGGAGCCTTGTCGGCCAATCCATTACTGGAAGACCCTTTCCTGCAACCAAAAGGATTGGTTTATTAAGCTTCAACTAGAGCTCCACATACCTAGACTGAGCTAAAAATATATCGATGAATTTAACTACTCGATAATTAAGCATTTAAACTATTGTGGGTTTCTTTGTTTTTTCTATTTTAAAATTTTATAATTTTACAATTTTGTAAAATAATTAATAGCTTTGTCCAAGCATTTCTTAGCAATAATAAAATTTCAAACAAGCATCATCTACATAACTAATTATTAAATGCATTTGAAATATAATATGAATTGCAGGCCAAAGCATAGCCTAGTGTTAAATACATATACGACCTGACAATAGATCTAGGTTCTAATCCCCTTCAATTAGTTTACTTCTAGTTGTGCCTTAAGTTTTCTAATGAATTGAACTTAATTAAGGACTCATTTGATATATATCATTTTAAAATATACAATTCATTTGCACATGAATGTTCTATGTTTATATAAATTTGGAATTGAATTAAATGTGGTAATTGTCTAAAATACCCTTAAAATTAGGATGAGAGGTAAAAGATAGAGCCGAATAGAGAAGTGGGAACAAGAGCACAAACAGAAAAAAAAAAACGATAAATTCATTTTTCAGTTTGTAAATTGTGTAATTCACTTGAAATAATTCTATTGATTTTGATAAAATTCCTTTGCTTATATTTAATTTTATCGAATTAAATTCATGATATTAAAATGGACATATTTTAAAATCCCAAACACTTAAAACTGAGAATTGATTTGAATTTTTTAAAATTTTGTGAATTTTATACCCTAAAATCAATATTACATCTCCTAGATTATATTTCTAATATAAGTGAATAAGATTATATGAGTGATCCTATATATGAGATTAATTAAAAAATTTTTAAAATAATATTATTGTTTTATTTTTTTTTTCAATATATGACTAAAAAATACCCTCATTTAAATCAAAATATATTATTTATAATTGGTTTGACATAATTAAATTTTTGACCGTGTCTAAGTAAATTTATACAGTAGAATCAAAATTGAAGTAGACAGGTGAAAAGTAGGAGTTTACCATAGAGGTGATGTTCCAAGGTGTTATTGGGAACAAAGTCATAGACCAACATTCGTTGTCCTCCAGCAATGCAATACCCAACTAGTGAAACCAAATGCCGATGATGGACACGGCTAATAATCTCAACTTCAGCCTGGAATTCACGCTCTCCCTGTCCGCTACCTGTCTTCAGGCTCTTAACCGCAATCTCCTTTCCACTAGGCAATACACCTTTGTGCACATATCCAAACCCACCTTGGCCTAACAAATTTGCCTGGGCGAACCCACTTGTTGCTGCTGCAAGCTCATCATATGTGAACGTACTTTTGTTGAACCCAAGAGCTATATTTGGAGATGGAGGTGGCAATGGCGGCCGGTGTGGACCGGAGAAATTTCCGCTCATTTCACCGCTCATGGGCATCATTGGTGGAGGCGGAGGAGCTCCATGCCATCCTACACCTGGTGATGAACCCATTGGAACAGGTGATGAACCCATTGGAACAGGTGATGAACCCATTGGACTTGATTGCATTGGAGGGCCATTTTGCCAACCTGGACGGTGCATTGAGCTCTGGTAATATTGATCACTACCTGTGCATTTAACTAGGTAAATATTCCATTTTGTGCATTAACTGAAGATGAAATTACATTTATGCTTTATTCAGCGAGCTGGAATCAGTGGCTGAACTAGAAAAAATATATATAGGAGGGCGAGAAAAGATTTTCAAAATTTAAAAGAGTGAAATTGAAAACAATTTGTTATTATTTTATAGATAAAATGTAAAATTTTCTATATTTTATAAAATAAATTTTATAAGAACTTTAAAATTGAGGGACTAGCCAACCCTAATTCTGCCATTGCCGGTAATAAAATGCGAAATAATTTAAGCAAATGCATCGCTAACATTAGACTACAAATGCATTAGATTACATTACGATTCACATATGGTTGCTGGTAATGGAAATGTGTTTGGTCAATTAATTAGTAAATTGTGAAAAAAAAATGGAAACAAAGATTATGAGAAATTGTATTTACCTCCTGGAAAACCTCCATAATATTGCATTTGCTCAGGCTGTTTCTTCTTCTTTTTGCAGAACAAAATTGCGCAACAAATGAGCATAAGAACAATAAATAACCCGACCCCAACCGATACTCCAATTATAACTTTAATCTGATCACTTGTGAAACCGCCGGTATTTGAAGAAGAAGAAGATGATGATGAAAATGAAGAAGCAGATGATCGCGATGATTTGTGAGGCGGCGGCGGCACATGGTCGTATTGTGATTTACTACTCTTACGTGGCGGCGGTGGTGAATGTTTAGAACTATTGGACGACGCCGGTGATGATCTTGGCGACGGAACTGTTGGTGCTTTTGTGGGTGGTGAACTTTTTGGTGCAGTTGAATTATTTGATGGACGCGGTGGGGGAGACTTTGGTTGGGTTGAGGACGAAGGTGGTGGAGAATTAGAATTTGGTGACTCAGCAGAGGAGGAAGACATTTTCTTTCTCTTATCTCATGAAGGACTTCCGGCTAGCCAAAGGTGAAATAGCATAAAAACCCGCCGGAAATTCCACCTCTCCAGCCCCTAACTGCTGGTCTCAAGATTCGAGGAGTACCCCTGCAAAATAATGATCATACATTTATTAATTAATATCATCACAACCCAATTTTTACAAATTAATGTATGGAAAAAAGAATCGTTATGATTTTACACGTTATACTTATCGAAGATAGGAATAAAATGAACCCATAAATCTACCGTAATTAGATAATTATTAACTGGATAAGAAGCCCATAAATTTTATATGCGCTTTCTGACTGGATGAAAGATCTATAAACCTTTATTTGCGCTTTCAACAAGCCTTGTTTTGCCAATTGAATAGTTGAAATTGTAACCAAGCAAATTCAAGTTAATTTTTTAATTTGATGTTTTATGTCTCTAAAAAATACACCATTTTATGATTCAACATTTTCTATATGAGTAGGGGAAGGTCCTATAAAGTTATGACCTACAAGTACTTGTAAGACTTGTTGTTTTGAACTAATGAAATTCAATTTGCAATTATTATTGTGGATTAGAGAATGTTAGAGTTAAACAAAAGAGAAATGGATAGATACCTGATGGAAGAAGATAGGTGGGATCTCAAAGAAAAGAGAGAGAAAAGGTGTTGCTTTGTAAAATTCTCATTCTAGAAGGGAAAAGACTTCCTACAAAGGAGGGTGAGGTTTCTCTTTCTTTTCTCAACCTCTTGTCTCTGCCACCCTTGTTTAGTCTAAAGTCAGTTATTAATTTTTACCATTTCAAAGATGGAATTCTGGTTTTTCTTTCATTCAACAAATGATGACCTTTTAATTTTGTTTAATCCACCATGGACGCTTCTTTCCACACTTGTAAAAAACACGTGCTCAGCTATTTATTGTGCACCTATTTATTTTACCTAAAATAGCATTCTTAATTATATTTACATAGGGGAATATTAATATTGTTAACAATACTTCTTTCCCCTTTATTTTCACAACTTAAGGACATTTTATGTATGAATGGAAAGTTAATTTCTTAACTATCATAGAACAGCTACAGCAGAGTAAAGATGTTCAATTGGAGCTTTAATCACTAATTGAGCAAGCACCAAATCAGTTATTATAGCACATCAGAGAAAAACTATGTTGCACGAAAATGAAGAAATGTGGAAACGAGGAAAACATTTATTTTAATCTTACAAGGAAAACGGTGTTTCAAACGAAGAAACAGACATGGAGAACTGTTCCCAAAACATGGAAACGCCCGTGGCTGAGAGTTTCCATTTGCTATTCGGTTCAAAATCTCCAATGCTCCATGGCAATATAAGATCGTAGCAGAGCTAAATACAAGATCAAACCACCAGTTCTTCAAGCAAGAAAATCAACCTGAATATTTACTGAGAGCTGAATGGCGTACAGACACAAGGCTGTTCACATATGGCAGAAACTTTCCAAATCCTTTGTTCATTCCATTTCTTAAGCACTTCGCCTGGTTTTTTGTTGCATGATAAGCAATAATCTTCCCATCAAGATCAAGGATCAGCGTGTCATCATTCACAAAACACACAGCCCGGCACATCGGAGCTGTATTACTTGCAGCTACTTGAGGACTAATCGGAATCACATGCTTCAAACTCATGTTCATATCTCCATAGACTTCAATAATGTAGTTATCATCCTCCTCTTGCTTGCGAGACATAATGTAGCACAAATTTCCATGCATCTCTGTTAAAGCACCAGTTGGTCCACTGCAAGGTGGAAGATTGAGAATCCCAAAATATTCATACTTAACATTGAATGCCAAAACTGCACCAGACTGTGTTTCCCAATAGGCAACTCCCCTCATGTAAAACCCATCATTATTCAATGCCAGAGCATCCAATACGCAGCATACAGTTTCACTTATTCTCCAAGAGTTTGACCTGGAAGAGTATATCTCAAAATGCAAAACAGGAGATTCAGGCAAAGGGACAACACAGATGAGTTCATAATTTGCAGTAAAATTGTATACAGAAGGTTCAAAGGCAAGTGCTACTGCAGTTCCAGGTGGATGATAAAAATTTGGATTGGGAAGCCTCCTCCAATTCTTAGTCACTGGGTTGCAAATGTAGTAGGATTCATTTCCATGGCGGCTTTGGCAGCAGAGCAACCCATTGCAAGTGCTTCTGATGTCAATGGCTTGTTCAGGCAAGAAACTGAGAGAGTCACTAGGAATGCCAAAAGAAGTTGGATCAAGTGAAATGAAGGATGGGCGTCCATCAGGAAACTGGAGAAAAAGACCAGAGACGTCCTTGAAGTGATTGGTTTGCGAGTGGGCAAAAAAAGGATTCTTTATCCACTTATTCCACTCTTTCGAAACAGTTTTAAACCTGTAAAGTGACTTTGCAGGGAGGAATTGAAGAGCGTGATCCTTCACAACATCTTCTATGCACTTTACATGCTTAGGAATTCTAGCATACTTTTCCGGACTTTGGTCAGCAATCTGATGAGAAACAGAATTGTATGAATAACACGAAACTGCAAGTCATGAAATAGAAATCATATAAAGAGGCTTTTCAGGCTAAAATGGAAAGGATCATAAAAAAACTTGCACTCCACAGTAACACCAAATTACTTTCTGCAATCAGAGGCAAAAATTTTGGGAAGAAAATGCAAAACACTTAAAAGAGAAATTATTTTTACATCAATAAATGATAAATAATGGTACATAAAGAATCAGAAGATGTTCGATCTGGAAACTCAAGCAGCAACACAATTTGAAATAAATTTCACATAAAATGAAAAGGAAAGAACCTTTCGGACTTATCCATTTAGTTTCTACACCAAATTACTGAAACAGATAAGCCTCTATGTCATATGCCTATAATGAGCAAGACAGTAATTGCATCTAAATATCCACCAATATAATCAAATCCACTGCAAGATACACCTTTCTACAAATCAAGTAATTCAGGTAAAACTAGCACGCCCAACAGATGTCTATTATCAATCTTTACAGTTATCAATTATAATGCCACTTAGTTTAGTAAACATTCAAGAACATACGACTTCACATCCTGCCGAACATGGATTATCTTCTCCTCCATCGTTGATGAGATCCTCACCCATCTCTTCTAGTTTTTCTTTCTGAGGCTTCTCCATTATCCTTCATATGTGTAATCAGTTTCAAGAAAATAAATAATATAAGAATATGAGTTTACATGGGTAAGAACATAAAATAGGATAGAAAATGAACAAAAATCAAAAGGTGTACAAAGTAGATCATAGCTGATTAGAATACCTTGAAGACAATAAATTCTGATTAAAAAATTAAAAAAAAAAAAAGAAATCTTTCAGAGCCAAAATGATATTTTTTTTTTTTTTAAATATTGTTAAGAACAAAAGGGAAGAAACGAATTAAAATTAACGCAAGGAAAGTTTGTGAAAATCAATCTCATTACCCTTACAAACTTGTCATACAAGAAAGAAACTTCAATTTTAGTTAAGAAAAAAAAATATTTTACAATTATGTATCAGATATTTAATTACTTTACGTTGAATAAAATACTTTAAGAATATTCAGAAATCACAGCCAACGAATACTGCTAGAGAAATTTCAGTTTGGTAATTCTTGGGTCGAAATTAGAATTTAAATACTGGGGCCAGAAATAGAAACAAGGTTAGAATTTAAACTTAGGGGATTCATATGTATATTTTTAAAAAATATAAATAAAACTCATGTGAGGAAAATTGAATTTTAAAAACAATGTGGGTCAAGCCTAATTTTCTCTTAATTTGTAAACTAGAGAGAGCGAACAGAACAGAACAGAAACAGAGTTCTAAGAAAAATTTAATCAAAATGCAATTTGAAACGCAGAAACAGAGAGCACGAAATACGGGGAAATAGCGTAACGATTAAACGGAGAACAAAGAACTAAAGGAAAGCATGGCAATAGACAGGAAGAGAAAATAACCTTTTGATAGAATTTCGAGGCGAGAGAGAAAGACTCATGCGGCAAATGTAGTCTACGATTACAGCCAATAATGGCGCGGCGTCAAGATATGTATTTAATTAGAAAGATGGACACGTGGCGGGATTTGATTGTTTGAAGAGGAAATAACATTTTCACAGAAATGCGATTTGAATTTCCAAGGCAAGAGAGCAAGACTTCAAGGAAAATGTAAGTCTACGGAGTCAGTGACAAGGGAAACTACAACGAACAAGGCGGCGGTGGCAGCAAGATTGGTATTTAGTGTTAATCAAACCGCCTAAACCATTCAAACCGATCTAAAACCGCGATTTTAAAAAATTGATGATTTTGTTTGATTTTATAAAATTTAAAAATTGAACTTTTGATTTGGTTTACGATTTTAGAGTCAAAACTGCCCAAATTGAACCAAACTATTGTAAGTCTACGGAAGTCAGTGGACAGGCGAAAACTACAACGAACAGCGCGGTTGGCAGCAAGATTGGGTATTTAGTGTTAATCAAAACCGCCTAAACCATTCAAACCGATCTAAAAACCGCGATTGGGTAAAAAATTTGATGAATATTTTGTTTTGATTTTTATAAAATTTTAAAAATGAACTTTTGATTTGGGTTTACGATTTTAGAAGTCAAAAACTGCCCAAATTGACACCAAACTATATATATATATTTATATTATATATATATATATATATTATAGCCCAATTTTTCTTGAAATGAAAATTTCTTTAATGGTATATTGGATAGTGATATATATAGCCAATTTTTTTGAATGAAAATTTTCTTTTATTTATATTGGATAGTGATAGTCTCAAAAATAAGACAATCTTAAGGAAATGACATTGTTTTAGCTATATTTGATAATCTGAATTGACATTAGTATTTTTAGGAAATGCACTTCTCCTTATATACCAATTATTGGTGTCAAGTTGGTTACCCAAGTGATGAAGGAAAGATATTCGGGCATTATCTCCTAATATTAAGTCCATATCACTTTTCTGTTATTCAAGATTCCGGGGATCCGGAGATCTCGCCAAAGTGAGTTTCTATCAAATGTCCCCCTAAAGTTCAAGTGACAATTATGTCCATGTTTGTTAATTGTTAAGCTCGGTAGATTCTCTTTTGATTGGATTTCCCGAACCCACTTATGCTCGGTTTATAAGATGTAGTGTGCTATTCAAGTGAAAAAAAATGATCTTTTCACCCCGATTTAGCATGAGGCTTCTGATGCATGTTTTGGGTCCAAAATTTAGCCCAACTAGGTTGTGAGTCCAGAATTGGGCCTATCATTTAAGAGTAGTCGTTGGTTTTGCTAGATTTTTGCATTTTAACTATCGATTTGATGGCAGTGACTTTTGAATTTTGAAAGGTGACTCTTCTTGTGCCTTGGCGCTTCAGCTTCCGACGATAGTTCGTGGGAATCTCCTTACTATATAAAGCCCAGTGTCCCTGCTTTTTGGGATTTTTTGCGATTGCTTCTCGTATACTCTTGACCTTATCTTCTTTCAATCTCATCAATTACTTCTTCATTCTTCAAGTAACTTTTATTACCTTTTCCTCTTTGAGTTCTTACATCATTGCTTTAGCTTTTAGCATTTAAACTCCTAAAAATGAGTTTTGGTCTTCAAAATAAAGGTAAGGCACCCGCTTATGAGCCTTCTAAGCTTCTGGGTCCTGAGGACGAACAAGCAGGTTTGGAGGAGGATAGTCGTATTTTGGGAGTGGTGGAATCTGAATCGGACTCTAAAGACGAGGTACAATTAATTCGGTGAAGGCTATAAGACATAACCTCTTCTGCCTAAAGAGTTGGCTCATGTTCGAACTCTTAATCTAGGTCTATGCCTCTCATTCCCCAACTGCGAGATGAGACTACACCCAAACAATTGCTAGAACTAAGGGAGAACAGGCCTGCTCGCTTCATGTAATAGAAAATAAGGGTTAGGGTATCTGCACATGCTTCTACATCCCCTTGGAATATAAGACAAGAGTTCCTCCGGCAGAGATGAGAGCTAATGCTGGGCTAGACAAACAGACCTTACTTATTTATATGAAGGACTGCCGAGCGGGTGTGAGGTTTTCTTTATAAAGGATTATTTCTTGACCATTGGCCAGATAACCCCAAACAGTATTCAGATGATACTTGGCACGAAAATCTTAGCTTTTCAAGACAACTTTGAGCATAACGTGCATCATCTGCATGCCATGTTTAACTTTGTCTAGAGAAGGGCGAAGGATCATCCGTACCTTTGCTCAGAAAGACTGCAACATGTTCCCCTTGAAGAGCTCATTGATTAAAGGGAGATGAAAAGAAAATATTTCCTTATTAATCATCCGGGGGGCTTTGGGGTGCCTTTCCAATGGAGTTGGGGGCCCCCTCGATTTAGACAACCTCGGGACTTGACTGTGGCTGAGATTAGGTAGGTTAAAGCCATGAAGCGACATGCCTTGAGTCCTCCCCTCTTGCCCCTACTAGATTTGAATACCCCTATGGGGGTAAGACCCCCAGCCTCAAGGAGGAGGAAAGTGCGGGAAACAGAGGGTGAGCTAGGTAATCTGCATTTTCTCTTGTCCCATTGCCGACTCTTTTTATTTAACTTGTTTCCCTTTTGTAGAGATGCCTCCAAGACTATCAAAGGAGATGAAAGAGCGTCTGGCAGCAGATCAAGATCAATTGATTGCCACCTACTCTGGGTAAAGTCCTTGAGGAGGCTCGGGGTCCCAGCGATCTAGTCTAAGGCGCTCTAAGGTGATGGCGATAGTGTTGCCTGTAAGTACCCCAGCGACTGAGCTATCTTTACCTAAAACCCCCTAGTGTGCCAAACTCTGTCACTTCGGCTCCTCCTTCTACTAGACAAAAAAACTACAGAGCCAAAGAGGAGGCACAAGTGGCAGCGGGGTTGTGATGAGGAGCCCCATTCTTCGATGTTTGAGAAAGGGCTAGAGCTGCGGATCTCGGTGAGGAGGAAGTACAGGAACGATGCCTCAGCCAACAGTGGCCAGGTTGCTCTGACTATCACTGCCCAGTGTGCTCTTCCTGTTAACCTGGTACACTTGGAGGGCATGGAGGAGGAGTCATTCCTTGATCAAATCGACAGCAAGCTTCTGATGGTATTTGCTTCTATATTTCTTCTGCTTCACTTTCTTTTTTTGTTTATTTCTCTTCTTTCCCTATTTTCCTATCTGTTTTAGCTGGTGAGTTCTCATAACGATATGTGCCGTCGCGTTAAGGAATCACGGGAGTTGGTTACAATCCTGACCGAGGATCTAAAGGCCGAGCAAGCTAAGGTTGAGAAGTTAGAAAACACTGTCTAGACCCAAGCACTAGAGCACAACTTCTTTGTAGGGGAATTATAGGATAATCTGGTCTATTTCTAAGAATAGGATGCTCATCTTGATTCCTCCCTTAAGCTCAGTGGTTGAGTGGAACAGTTAGTTAAACAGGAGGAGGAACATGTTGCTGTTATATGTCAACTTCATTAGGCGAACCTTACAATTGCTGAGCTTTAATCAAGATTTCCTGATGAGGACTGGGGCTTTGTTAGCCAGATTGATGCATATCAAGACTTGGATGAGGAGGAGGAGGCGGCTGAAGACACTAGTGCCTTGGTCGGGGATGTGCAGAATTTTGCTCAGGTTGCATCTTCTAAGCTTGAGGGTGGTCCAGGGGTGTTAGATGCACTTGAGTCTACTGCTCTTACTAGCTCAAGTGTTTTCATGGAAGAGCCTATGCTTTCTGTAGGCATATTTGAGGACTACCCTTGTCACAACCCGAAACCATGGGTCGGACCTGCACTAGGGCCCAGATAAGCTTAAGGCCCCCGAGGCCGGTAGTAAGCCTAACTACAAAATTCAATTATATCAATGTAAATTCTAAGTATTAAGCCCAATGCGAAAATAAACCTCATATTTATATTATCATTTGGCCCCAAATTATAACATCTTAAACATTTACAAATCGGCCCAGCTTACAATACACCACATTTATAATATGGGCTCACAGAATTATTTCATCTATATTAATACATGACTAAAGGTATACAAATCTTACAACTGCGTAGTTCACTATTAGATAAATACAATTATATTCTTGTCCATATAGTTATATAGCAATTTAGTTACTAAAACTAGGAAAATTTCTTTCTAGCTCTGCGATAAAATACAATTATATTCTTGTCCAAATAGTTTATAGCAATTAGTTACTAAAAACGTAGGAAAATTTCTGTCTAGCTCTGCCCGATGAAAAATGTTCAGAGCTTATGTTCACGCTCGACTCTGAAATCACCAGAGGAACTTGTCCGCTTTGGATCAAGCCAAATCCCCCCAACAAGATTGGCAAGACCCGGCACGGATTTTGATCCGCGCAGGTGAAATGGGAAAACTTTCCCAGGAGGTCAACTCCATCCTAGGATTTCCGTTAACGTGCAGCATGGCTTAACCCTGGAGTTCTTCCCAACTCTTCCAGCCATTCCACCAAAAGGTTCCTCTAACGATTAGTTTTCCCCCTTTTCGAATATATGATTCGAATTCATTCCTGTGTCCCGCATTCCACTACCCTAGGCTAGAAGCCTGCCATCCTAGATAGCTAGCCAGGAGCTTCGCCCTTACCCGCCCCCTCTTTAGGATCGCTTTGCCGGGTCGGATGTCACAGACCATCAGCTTCGCATGGTTCATCCTCGAAAACCCATAACATCTACTTGGAGGGTCCGACTCTGGATACCAACTGTCACGCCCGGACTCTAAGCACCCAGAGGAATTGTCCGCTTTGGATCAAGCCAAATCCCCATACAAGATTGGCAAGACCGCCGCGCACGGTTTTGTCCCGCAGGTGAAAGGGAAACTTCCCAAGAGGTCACCCATTCTAGGATTTCTGTTGTAAGCGAGCTGGCTTTAACCTTGGAATTCTGTCCAAACGCTCCAGCCATTCCACCCAAAAAAGGGCCTCTAATGATTAGTTTCCCCCTTTTTCGATAATGATGTCGATTTCATTCCTGGTCCCTGCATTCCACTACCCTAGCTAGCCTAACCTAATCTAGAAGCTAGCCAGAGCTTCGCTCTACCCGCCCTCTTGGATCGCTTTGCCGGGTCAGGGAGTCACAGCTTAGACGAAATGAATGAGGAAAACCAATACGCTTTAAAGTTTAAAAATAAAAGTCATGTTTGAGTTTTATATAAAATAATAATCATTGCACGGCACACCGCATCCAACA